TCAGGGGCCATAATCCATGAAGTTACAGTCCGATACATGCCAATATCGAAAGGAACCGAGATCTTAGGGTGATAAACCTATATTTCAAGTTTCATTGAAATCGGATAAAAATTGTGACCTGTAGACTGTTCACAAACAATTGTGGACCTTCAGAGGGGAAGATTTGGAAACTGAATCACTGCCTGTATGGTTTGAAAGTTGGAGTTCGACAATTTCAAGTTTCAACAAAATCGGATAAAAATTGTGACATCTATAGGGTCCACAACCTTGATATACCATATTTTTATGCTATTTGAGAACGAGGGGCGGCCATTTTGTCGATCAGTTTTGAGCCGATTTTCACGAAATTCGAACTCAGCCGTCCTTAGGGTGTAACGGTGATATAATAATATGTTTTTTTAAATGGGATAAAAATTATGACCTCTATAGGGTCCACAAGCTAAAAACGCGATTTTTCGTACAATCAGGGGCCATAATTCAGGAAGTTACATTCCGATATGCGCGAATATCGAAAGGAACCGAGATCTTTGGGTTATAAACTTACATTTCAAGTTTCAACAAAATCGGATAAAAATTGTGACCTCTATAGGGTCCACAACCTTGATATACCATATTTTTACGCTATTTGAGAACAAAGGGCGGCCATTTTGTCCGTCAGTTTTGGGCCGATTTTCACGAAATTCGAACTCAGTCGTCCTTAGGGTGTAACGGTGATATAATAATACGATTTTTTTAAATCGGATAAAAATTATGACCTCTATAGGGTCCACAAGCTAAAAACGTGATTTTTCGTACAATCAGGGGCCATAATTCAGGAAGTTACGTTCAGATATGCAGGAATATAGACAGGAACCGAGATCTTTGGGTTATAAGCATACATTTCAAGTTAGAACCAAATCGGATAAAAATTGTGGGCTCTACAGTGTCCACAAGCTAAAAACGTGATTTTTCGTACAATCAGGGGCTATAATCCATGAAGTTACAGTCCGATACATGCCAATATCGAAAGGAACCGAGATCTTAGGGTGATAAACCTATATTTCAAGTTTCATTGAAATCGGATAAAAATTGTGACATGTAGACTGTTCACAAACAATTGTGGACCTTCAGAGGGGAAGATTTGGAAACTGAATCACTGCCTGTATGGTTTGAAAGTTGGAGTTCGACAATTTTATTTAAGCGTTAAAGAAGAGCTGATGAAGTTTGGTTGTAAACAATCTGATTTAGACCGGCTTTATTTTCTTATTGCATCAAGAATGAAACTGTTGGTATATGCTGTCACATTGATGATTTTTTACATGGTGGTACAGAGGTGTTTAATAAAATGATGGTAAAATTAACAGCGAGATTTAGAGCTGGTAAAGAATAGCATACAGAGTTTTGTTACATTGGATTCAGGTTTCTCCAAAATCAAAATGGTACAGTATTAGATCATTCAGATTTCATCGAGAAATTAGAGATGTACACCTCTTCATAGCAAAGAGCCAGAAACAAAGATGATATATTGACAAATGACGAACAAACAATATACAGAAAAACAATAGGCCAATTAAATTGGGTTGTACAAGTTTCACGACCTGATATGGCCTTTGAACAAATTGATTTGAGCACCAAATTACAACAAGCAACAGTTGGTGATTTGAACCGTGCAAATAAAGCTATAAATAGACTAAAAGATATAAAGACACAAATATCATTTAGGTCATTTGCACTTAACCCAGAAAAATGGGAAATACATGTTTATAGTGACGCATCTCATTGTCGGTTGAAGGAAACCTTGGTAGTGTGAAATAAATATGGCTGACAGAGTACATGTGTTTTATTGAATAACAGCCAATTTAAGCTGATTAACAAATAATATCTCTGAAATACTTGCGTTGGGCAAGAACATGATACTAGCAGTAGTTCCATTTTACTTTTACAAGGTTCTTAAAACAATTGTTGAGTTGCCAAACGTGCGTGTTTCTAAATTCAATTTATTGTTTCAGCTATCTGTTGTTATGTTTCGTAAAAAAGTAGTCTTGATAATCCCGGCCTGTTAATCAAACGTAGAATGGTCGGTAGAAGGGTTAAGCGAGACTACTTTCAAAACAAGGGCACGTAACCTATTTTTTATTCACATGTGCTTGGTTGTCATGGCCGACACTCGGAACCATCTTTCAGTGTATTATTTATGGATGATTAAATGGTCATAGCTTATTAAGTAGAGCATGACCGTTTATTTAGTGATTATAAATGTTTGAAGCTGATTTAAGGCTTGGTGTAATTGTCGAGATATTTGGAGATATTTATTTATGGTGGGACACCCTACTAATTAAGTGAGATTGAGGACACTTGGTGAATAGTTTTATCACGTCAGTACCTTGACTAAGTTCGATAGTGAGCGTTTTCTGCTCAGGGTAAGCAGAGCGATAAGCAATTTGATTTGTCAATACTTTGAAACACAATTACTTTCCTTCTAATTGAGGTAGATTGTTCAAACTTGGTGTAGCCGTTCATTAGGTGGAATGCCTTGATGAAGTACCATAATAAACATTGTCTGCTTATGGTAAGCAATCTGATTGGTTGATGCTTTGAGGCACAATAACTTTGGTTTTAATTAAGTGAGAGTGATGAAACTCCGAGTATAGATTCATTATATCATTACATTGACTAAGTTCGATGATGAGCATTTTCTGCTTAGGTTAAGGAGCGATAACATAACATAACATAACTTTGGAACATAACAACTCTGCTTTTAATTAATGTAGATTGTTTAAACTTGATGTAGATGTTCATTAGGTGAATGTCTTGATTGAGTTCAATGATTAACATTTCGAGCTAAAGCTAAGCAGAGCTAAGAAATTTCATTGGTCGATGCTTTAGATAAACAATATTTTATTCAATAAACTGAACTGGATTGAACAACAGGCAAAGGCCTATATAAGTTCTCTCCAAACATATAAAACAGTTATATCTTATGTTTACAATAGACAATGGTGGACATATGTATAGACAGTGAGTTACAAACATATATACATTTCTTGGAGTCTAATCGTAGGGTATTACATTTTCATTTTAGATTATGAAATTTATATAAGATATAAAGCATTGCATAATGTAAATAAAATATTAAATGTTAAAGTGTTAAAATCTCTTGCTATCTTTAATGTATTTTTGCATAATGTTAAATATTGTTAAAATTGGTATCATCTGAAAGGTCGGCGTTGTCATATAAGATTAGGTTAATTGTAACATTTTGTTTGAGGTATGTAAATTATTTTGGAGAATTGTTCTTTGGGCAGAGTAAGCTGGACATATGAAAAAAAAAAGGTAATTATCTTCATCTGTAGAATTACATCTAGGGGCACACCTTTTTTTTACTAATAAAATGGTAGAATAAGTGGTTATTTAAATTATTAGCTTTATTTCTTAATTGGCAATAATATTTTCTTTCCTATTTCCAGTATTATAATATAATGGTGAGAGAGAGAGAGAGAAAAGGGGTTTGACGTCCACTCGACACAAACTAGGTCATTTCGGGACTAACATATGGTTCAATTTTATTTCCATAATTCGCTTGTGCGTAGGGGTCGTTAGTAGTGGGAAGGAAACTGGGGGACCTGGAGAAAACCTACGAGGTTGGACAGGCGACCCTACTCCTTGTCACGTACAACCGAGGAATCAAAACCACGCCAGTTGACTCAATAACAGACTTTATGATACAGCACACACGTGCTAACCATTCAGCCATCCAACCCCCCTAATATAATGGTAGTCTAAGTAATGGGTATACACGTGAAAGGCCCGATTTAAATGTGCTTAACGTTTGTGAGGTTTTAATGTTTTCCGGTAAGTTGTTCCAAAGTTTATGGTGCAGGGAAAGAAACTATTAGAGTATGATTTGGTTTTACAAAATGGTGGATTGAGGTTCTGATTTTCATTACGAAGATTATAAGTTGGTACTAAAGATTCAAATTTTTTAAAGATTTCAGTCAGATAAGTTGGGCCTAGGTTGTTCTTGTTTTTATATAAGTAAATTAATTTGTGTTTTATTCTACGATTAGACAACGATTCCCACCCAAGCTCTTTGTATAAATTGTTTTTAGATGAATTTCTTCTAAGGCCAGTTGTTATTCTACCTGCTTCAGTTTGAACATTTTCCAATAGATCAGAATTCTTCTTTGAACAGTTATCCCATACAATATCAGCATATTCTAAAATCAGGCGAATAAGAGCAAGATAAATTTTATTAAGTGAAATTATATTAATTTTATATTTCAGTATGCGCAAAATATTTAGTCGATGCTTTGGGACCAGATAACTTGATTCTATCTGATAGAGAGTGATGAAACTTAGTGTATAGTTGATAATCAGTTTGATTGCTTGATACTTTTGAAAAAAATAAATGTGCACTTAATTAATATGTGTCATCTATTTATTTTGGGATTTCGGCAGGAAACATCAGCCTCACTGTTGGCATTTTTAAACTTGAAATAGACAAAATGATTCTAAAAAAACATAATATTAATGTCATATGAATGTACGTAAAGTGATTTATATTCAATTTTTTTTTTAAATATTGTAATTTCTAAACAATTTATATGTTCGGTGAAGTATGTGAATAGTTCAAATTAAACAGCAATCGTTTATGCCTGCAGAGTCCATTCTACATGTTTTTTTAGTTATTTTGTCATTTGTGAATCAACCATTACTAAATACTTCCACATTGTCTTGTATGATATGTTTTATTTGTTCATTACACAATGATACCGAAACCATGGAATACACGACTTGTGTACTGATTATAAAATGTTAATTGTGTTGTAAATATTGGATATTAGGATCCTATATTATTACGTCATAAATATTGATTGAAACTGACAAATATTGAATTCTAATTAGTGTTTTTAATTTCAAATATTATGGAAAATATTGAGTTAGAGACTTAGCTCCTTTAATTTCTCTCATACTTTTTTTTTAATTGACAAGTGACCGACTGAGATAATTAGTAAACTTACAAATTTCTGGTAATAGGGCTGCTGGAGAAGCAGGACCTGGCCAATCATCTCGTTCTATTTTTTCTGGTTCATTAGCTTCTCTAGGTTTACCTGCTGGATACATACTTAATTTAACAGCTTCTTCATTCTTTAAATCAGCAACTGATGGTTTATGATGAACTCGTACTACCCTTTTACCAGATGCTAATAAAATATAATACATCATATACAGTATTACACTAATACAAAAAACATAATATAGAACACAATTACTATTTTATTTAAAGCGACGTTTCGTTGAGGGTTCTCTCAACGTTTTCAAGCAAATGATATTGAAAATAATCTACAGAGGGTTTATATACAAAAACAAGTAACAACTAATAATCTAATCAATAGAGAAACCATTTAACATATTAAATCAATAGGGAAACCATTTATTATATTAAATCTATAGGGAAACCATTTATTATATTAAATCATTAGGGGAAACCATTAATATATTAAGTCAATCTTCTATATAGGAATAAGAGCTTATGAAACCATATACACAAAATATATAACAACTAATTATCGCCAATAAACCATATTGGGAAACCACTGATAATAGTAAAGTTACAGGTCAAAGGGAAACTTATAATAACATACAAAATAAATACATCTGGTTAGCCTAAAATGGTCAGGGGAGATTTTATCTTAACACTAGTCTAGTAACGGATCAGAAGGAAACTTATAAAAACATATTGAAAGTAATTATATAATAGCACACAATTATAAGGGGAACCACATATTAATTATTTTGTAGATGAGAAAACAAAAGATAGGAAACACTTATTATATTCACGTATTATACTTCATTATTATAAATTAATATGTAACCACATAAACACAGAGGGTATACTCAGGTACTATTGCGATTCAGAGTTTATACTGCAGTTATTATAATAAGTATAATTCAATTTCCTGCGATTAATGCATCATAGGCACGTGGTAGATAGATGCCTTCGTCTCTATTTAATGTTGGTTTGTGGCGTTTTATATTGATGGCTTCCAAAATCTTCCTTTTCTTTGTGTGGTTTTGGTGGATTGCTAATTTCTTTGTCTTTTCCCATAGTATCTTGTGTTTTGGATTTTGATGGATGTGGTCTGCTACAGCTGAGGTCTGGTTATATGGTTTTGGTAGGTGTTGGTTAAGTCTAACATCTAATGGTTGCCTACTTTCTCGACTGTAGCTGCTTTTACATAAGCAGAAGACTTGGTAAACGCAGCCTTTGGGTGACGTTGGTTTGATTGACTTGCATTTACCATTAGCTTGGAGGATGTCTTTGATGGTGTTTGTGCCTGAGAAGATTACCTGGATACCAGCTTGTTGCAACAATCTTCTTATTTGGTATGATATTTTGCCGTTAAAGGGGATAGTGATTCTGATAGGTGGCTTATCTTGTGCTTTGGATTCGTTGTTGTCAGATAGTGCTTTCTGTATTACATCTTCTACTAATTTGGGTGGGTAGTCATTAAAGGTGGTAAAAACTTCTCTGAGGTGGGTCATCTCTGCATCTAGTTTCTCAGGTGTTGAAATTCTTTTTGCTCGTTTTACTAAGGATGATAAAGTTACTCTTTTGATACTGATTGGTTGGTTGGATTTAAAATGTACGTACTGGTCTGTGTGCATTGGTTTCCTATATACACTGGTTTTTAGGGTGCCGTTTTCTCTCTCTACTTTTACATCAAGGAATGGAAGGGTGTCATTAATTTCAGTTTCTGATGTAAATTTGATACGGTCGTTCTGTTGGTTAAGATGTTGTAGTAAGGTTGTATGTTCTTCTATGCTGTTTAAGATTACAAACGTGTCATCCACTCTGCGAAAATAGGCTATTCAAGCAACCTACTTCACCTGGGGGGATGATTTTTACCAACAAATTCATGGCCTGCCAATGGGGAGCCCGTTATCACCTCTACTAACTGAAATTTTCATGACTGCGTTTCAAGAGAAAGCCCTAGCAATATCACCTGTTAAACCTATAGCCTATTTAAGAGAACCCTCAACGAAACGTCGCTTTAAATAAAATAGTAATTGTGTTCCATATTATGTTTTTTGTATTACGTATGTCAATTGCTAAATGCCACTCAAAGAAGGAGTATTAAACTATATATGTACTCTACCTGGCACACAACTCAATCAATGGCCAAAATATCAAATATGATCTGGACATTTGATGTAATGTAATGTAATGAATGACTGCATATTCAATAATAGTGAATCTTCAGTTATGATTGTCAACATGCGGCATATGTGACCCGTCTTGGCATAAAGAGTCGCAATGAGGAAATTTTGAAAATTGAGTTATTGTTATTTGCACGTTCCCCAACTCAATACCTTTAATTTCATGTATAGTTTGTTTGAGTCGGGCAAAATTAACTGAGCTGTGTTCGCTTGAAGCCACCCAACGCACCAAAGTAAGTTTTGAGAAAAATCAAGTCAAAGATTTGGTATGTTTCAAAACAAAATCCCATAGCAACCATTTTTTTGCTGTTTTGTCGTTGAATATTATTTCCTACAGGTTTTCAGGTGTGCTGAAGACGAAAATTGTAGTAAAAATTTGATCTGACAATTTCCGCCATCTTTATTTTCAAAATGGACGCCAAAATAGCAAATTTTCGAGTTTTCACAAGTTATGTGTTTATTAATATCATTGTATGGGCTTTTAGGAGTGCTACATAAAAAAAATTGCATTATAAGATAGTGTTATAATTGAGAACAATCTATACATTAGTTGTTTAAGATTGCATACTATAACTTTGGTGAAATTAACATCGTTTAATCTCATCAATTAATTAGCACCTTGGTGCAAGTGGTCAGAAGATTAAGGTTGTTGATTGGGTAATCAAGTCTAGTAGTCTATCTTAATCATCAAAGAAGCCACCACAGCTGTACGACAGAATTAAGATTTTGCGTGTACAATAGGCCTATTGTTATTTTCAGGTACCGTAACAATTTCATTGGCATGAAATGCTTACGTTCACTTAAGTGCATTTTGGAGGCAGTGTAATTAAAGAATGGCAGATTATTTTACCTACGTGATTATCGTTGTGTTTCGACTCGTTGCTCGTTCTCATTTTTCCGACCCATTGTGATAATAGAATTTTAAACAATAATATCCAATATGAAGCAACAGTAGACGGAATTCAGCTATCAATAAAATTCTCTTCGGAAAAAAATTACAGGCTATTTTGTTTATTTCCATTTAAGGCCTATAAACGCGATCACCGCTTTGATTAATTATTCAGTGTAAAAAATGAGTTGTCAGCGACCTAATCATTGTTAATTATCAATCAACTAATTAATCTGTGAGAAGTGATTACAGATTAGTATTAATCAATGACACAAACATCTTGTTGATTAAATTATAATGTTTTGATTAACACTCAACGGCTATCTATATACGATCCGAATTAAATTGTTTTCTACCACTTCTCAGGGTGAATAGCATGTAGATACCCCATAACATTGCCAAAATCTAATTTTTATCGTCCGGTTGAGCCTCGATGCAGCCACAGAACCACAATGCTTTGCACGCGTTGTCTGGGCCAATCAGCAAACAAGTTGTGTTGGCAGATTAGCAACAAGCTGAGTTTGTTTACATTTTTAGGGATGTTAAAACCCTTTTGTATTCCTTCAAAATGAATTCATCGGCAATATTTTGTAAGATTTTGTAAGAGGATTGACCGGTCGTCCCGGTGAGAGCAGAGAAAAATATCTAATTTCGCTGAGAATATTCAAAACAAAGACAGATGTAAGAATACGGTACTCCAAATAAAGGTGTTTTAAAATGTTTTGTTGCTTTTTTGATCTATTGGGTCGATAGATAGTATATTTATAGACCCATTTTTGTGAAAATCTCAATTTCGATCAAACTCAATGTTTTCACTAATTTTGTCTTTACCTCATTATTGGATCGTGCGCATTCCGACTCATTTTGCCGTGGCCGGTCACATATTTAGAAATAGAGTGTAACATATAATAATAATATATTACCTAATGCCATCATACCACTTCCTGTAAAATAAATATAATATGTTAATATAATCATTATATATATATATATATATATATATATATATATATACTATTCAAAAAAAGTAGGGGATATTTGATTTTGGGGGCATAATACTAAAATATGCAAATGACTACGAAAAAAGTCACTATAGAACCTAACAGAAGAAACATTTCCAGTTACATGTGACGCCCAAACGCACCAATAGCTACCGCATGGAATGCAGGTGATGCTTGGGATCATCATGGGGGTCCAACCCAAGATTTGCACGACTCTGACTTTGAATGTTACAGTCATTGTGGCATTGAATTCCAGGGTGGAAACATCAGTTTAATTGTTTTAGTGACCAGAAAACAAATTTTGATATGCGTCGGCTTACCCAAAATGAAAGGTTACGTGCCCTTGGCATGCTACAGATCGGCACAACACAGGCGGTTGTGGCGCGGACGATGAATGTTTCTCAGTCTGTCATAAGCAGATACACAATCTGTACAGGACAGACCACGCTCAGGTCGACCAAGGGCGACAACTCAAGCCCAGGATCGATTTATCCGTACCTTGGCCTTGAGAAATCGTGTCATCACAGCAAATCAGATCGGCGCTCGTCTTCAAACAGACACTGGTGTGAGAGTGAGTGGCCAGACGATTCGGAATCGACTGCATAGGGGTCACCTTCGCGCCCGACGTCCTCGCGTGATCCCTTGTTTGAGAGATCATCACATTCAGGCAAGACGTCGTTGGTGTAGGGATCGTCAACACTGGGATAATCGACGCTGGAGCAATGTGATGTTTTCAGATGAGTCAAGGTTCACTGTTGATTTTTTGGACAGACGTAGGAGGGTGTGGCGTCGTCGAAACGAGCGCTTCCAAGACGTTAACGTCATCAGACATGATCGATTTGGGGGTGGTTCTGTTATGGTGTGGGGAGGCATCACTGTTGCTGAAAGAACGGCTTTACATGTTGTTGCAGGGCGTGTTACAGGCCAGTACTACCGGGACAACATCTTGGCAGTCCATGTTGTGCCGTTCGCACGACGTCATGGCCGCCGTTTCATCTTCCAGGATGACAACGCAAGATGTCACAGGGCCAGGATCGTTACAGGTTACCTCCAACAACAGAACATCACCACATTACCTTGGCCAGCACTGAGTCCCGACCTCTCCCCCATCTAGCATGTCTGGGACATGCTTGGACAGAGGTTACGTCAACGTCAACAACGTCCTGCCAATGTCCAAGAACTTGCTGCTGCGTTGCAACAGGAATGGGACAATCTGGACCAAAATGACCTTAGACGTCTCATTAGGAGTATGCCACGTCGGATCAATGCTTGTTTGGCAAACAGAGGAGGATTTACCCGTTACTGACTTGGTTGTGATGCTGTGGTAACTTTGCTGTTTGACCCCGGGTATCATTTTACCCTTATAATGGTCAGTCTGTGCCTTACTTAGTCTAACGATCATTTGGAATAAATCGATGAATGTGAACTTCATTTCATTTTGTCATTTGTTTCTTCGTCAGTTTCATTAGGTGACTTTAAAACACATTTAAAAATCAAATATCCCCTACTTTTTTTGAATAGTATATATATATATATATATATATATATATATATATATATATATATAATATATATATATAATTTATGAATAGTCCCAAGACGGACGAAAAGTACTTTAAAATGTTAAAATGTTATTAAACCAGTGTTGAAATCAGTTTGTGTCGGCATACCTTTTTTTATCTTTTCATCATTTACCGTGAAACAAAGTAGTGCAGCTTTGCGGTTGTGCTAATAATTTTGGATATATATATATATATATACACACTCGCTATATATATACACTCGCTATAATTACTTATTAACATATATTTTACATAAGATACAAGTATTAAATGTCATATAATCAAAATAAAATACATGTTGGCTTTATGAAATTTTCTACTGAGTGAGAAAAGCATGTAACTTGAGATAATTCTTAATTAGACTAGGGTATACTTACCTGAAGGATAATTGGAATTATCTGAATCCTCTTCGTAGAGGAACAGTTAAATATGCAGTACCTAGCACATGCGCAGATAGGACCACTGATTTAAAAATCAAAGTGTAGCCCCCTAATCCTCTCATAGTTATAACATTGCAAGCTAAGTAGGCATAAAACATGGGAAGGGAAAATAAGGGGGGAATTTAACTGTTCGTCTATGAAGAGGATTCGGATAATTCCAATTATCCTTTAGGTAAGTATACCCTAGTCTAATTAAGAATTATCCTTTATCCTTTTCTGTAGACAACCAGTTAAATATGTAGATTTAAAAAAAAATTGCAGTATATTAATAAAAATCTTCAGAATTTATTTAATTGGAATAATAACATACGGCATAATTTGAACAATAAAACATTAATTATTTGTGAAATTCAAAACTGTCTTTCCAAAATTAACATTTACAGTTTGTCGGTTATAGAATTTATTAAAAGTTGATTCTCTAGACCAGTCTGCGATTAATTGCAGGGTGTCCTCAAATGGATGGATTTGAGATCGATCATGCGGAAGTGAGAGCAGGTTCTTTTGTTTTGGTATTAAAATTGGTTGATAGCACGACAGTTCTAGAGCTTGGAGGTACCATGGTTAAGCTGTCCAGTACAGAGTTATCAACAGCACTTTTGAATTTTCCAGACGCACCTTGTTTAATACACCTAGGATTAGATTGAAGGGGGGAAAGGCATAGGCTGCCATCAGTTTCCAAGGTATTGAGAATGCATCTGTTCCCCAGGCCATTGGAGATTTACACTGGCACCTGAAAGTTTAGTCTGCTGGCAAATAGGTCTATCTTTGGTTGAAATGTCATTCTTGTTATCTGAATAAAGACATTCTGGTTTAACTGCCACTCTGTTTGATCCAAAAAATGTCTGCTCAGAAAATCTGCCTGGATGTTGTCCAATCCTGGTATGTGAACAGCTGACAGATGAATTTTCCTGTATAAAGCCGAAGTCCATATTTCTCTGGCCATTAAATCTAGTTCTACAGAGTGCGTCCCGCCCATGTGATTGATGTAGACAACCACCGACTTGCTGTCGATCTGTACTTGTATGTGAAGATTGAACATCGAAGGCGCAAGGGTTAGCAAGGCAAAGTGAACTGCTTTCAATTCTAGTAGGTTTATGTGAGTCTTGGCCTCTTCTATTGTCCATCGACCTGATACTCGTGTTTGGTTCATCACTCCTCCCCACCCCTTCTTTGAAGCATCTGTTGTCAAGATGACTGTTCTGGAAAATGTATTGGTTTGCCATTCACTAGAGAGAGATTCTGAGTCCACCAACTTAATTCCAAAACTGTTTGGACTGATAACGACATGATGGCCTGATAAGAGACTTTCTGAAGAAGTGTCCTGGATTTGTCTCTTTCTAAATGACGATAATGAAGGGGGCCTTGGTAGATTGCTGGAAAAATTGACACCAATTACTCTTGCAGCTTGTTTTATTGTTGGACTTATACAGCTGAGTAGGTTGTGAATCTCCCTTAGAATCATTGTTTCTTTGTCGCGAGGTAGGGATATAATCATAAATATTGTGTTGATGTGAAAAACTAGGAACATGATTTCCTGTTTTGGGTACAGGGAAGATTTCTCTACGTTTATAACGAAGCCTGCTTTCTGAAAAATGGTGGTTGCCTCCTGAATTAGACTGTTGGAAGATTGAGAAGTCCTTGCCATCCACAGGGAATCGTCCAGATAAATTACACCCCTGTTTCGTGTTCGCAGATACGCTACTAGAGGCTTGGTGACCTTGGTGAAAATTCTGGGAGCTGATTTTAGTCGGAATGGAAGGCACAGATATTGGAATACTGAAGTAAGCATCTTTTAGATCTTAGATCTAAAGGTAATCTCCCTGTTGAATTAAACTAAAAACATTCTGAAAAGTTTCCATTTTGAAGTGTGCTGAAATTACATATTCAGTGGCTTTAGGTTTATAATTGGGCTACTCCGCCAGTTTTCTTGGGAACAAGGAACAAGGTTGACAGATATTCCCCTGTTATTGGCTGAACAGGTATGATTGCTCTTTTCTTCAAAAGGGCTTCTACTTCTAATTGGAAAATATTTGATTTTATCAAGTTCTTCGGTACAGGGGTGACCCTTGAAAAGATGGAAAACTTTTCATGATCCTGTGAGTGGCACTTGAGGTTTACATGTTTTAGTAAGATCACTGCCAAATAGTTCATCAGTGATATCTTGCGATTTCTTACACAGATCTTTATAATCTCCAGAAAATAAATGTTTGAGATTCTCTCTTCTGGCTAACGATAAAAAAAAAAAAAGATGAATGTCCAATTATAAAACTTGCATCTTCTGCCATGTTACACAGGATGGCCAACTCCTCAATAGCAGGGTTTTCTAACTTCAGGGAATTTAAACAATCTGCCAAACCTGCTACTGCATAAATTCCACTACATAAGGAGCCCTGTGAATATTGGAAAGTGTGGTCTCTTTCTTTCTGACCTCAACACATTTTCTTATAAACTCCACTGTTAATGGTAGGGACAGTGACAAACGCAGTATTATCTTTGACAGATTTAAGGAAATCAGGGTCAGCCCTAGTAAGCATAGAGGTCAGTGTGTCATAAACTGGTTTAGTGGTTTTGGTCTTTTGAAAAGCCTCAGAGAATCTGTCATTTTCCTGATCTGGAGAATCGATATCCTCCTTGACACGGGTATCAACACCATTGCGTTCATCATCATAATCACAAGAATCACGTTGACGTTGTGGCTGTCATCGTAAACATCATCGACATTGTTTTTGGAGTTAAGTTTTCTTGACTTCCCCTTCGGTGCCCAATCATCAATAAAACTATCGTTTCCAGTCCGCTTACCAAGAGCTGATTTGATTTCTTGAACAGAATTAATAATTTGTCCTATCCCCAATGCCGAATGAAGGGAAAAAATGGTTTCTTCCGACCAAACACTGGAGGCTGCCATCTTGGGCCTCGTTTCCATGGAGGAGGAAGTGACGGTACTAGTTGGTTTGCTAGAACTAAGCCATCGAATAGGCGAACCTTGAGGTACTGGATGCTCTGGATGTCCAAGACTACCCGCCTCTCTATTACGATAGGCCTTGAAATGCTGGTCTTCAGTCAAAGTAAAGGACATATTTTGTTGTTCAGCATCACACTTGTCATCCAAAACATAACAAAAAACTTCATTATCCGGAATCAGGACAGCTTTACTGTTGGCAAATGGTAGCTTGTCTGAAGTCGGCAATGCCGTCGTAGGTGACAATGTCACCGGCTTATAAAGATGACCTTTAACGTCTGCACTCAGCCACTGTATTTATTGCAGTACGAGAGTTACTGACTGAACCATATAGCTACTCTCTGTAATACAGCACAGGAAAAAGGCTGGAAACTCAGACACGTGCTGAGCTACTTGATTAAACTAAAAACGGTCCTTCTTAGCGCAGCACTAAGATAACTATGAGGGGATTAGGGGGCTACACTTTGATTTTTAAATAAGTGGTCCTATCTGCGCATGTGCTAGATACTGCATATTTAACTGGTCGTCTACAGAAGAGGATGAAGGATAATTATAGTTTCAATATCAATTTCCAAAATTACTCTTAAGTATATCAAATTTCTTTCTGGTTATCAAGAAAAGAAAATTAATTGCTGAAGGAGAACTATGGTGGACTATGGTTACCATAGCAATCTTAATAATTTGAACAGAAACAATAAGCGTTCATATGAAATATGAAAGCTTAATAATAACTTTATTCTCCAAACTACGGCCTATTGTTTTCATTTTCATATCCGTTATCGTGGATTTTTCACTTTTTCTCATATTCAGTTCAAGAGAGAGAGAGAGAAATGGGGTTTAATGTCCACTCGACACAAACCAGGTCATTTCAGGACTAACATATGGTTTAATTTTATTTCAATAATTCGCTTGCGCATAGGGGTCTTTAGCAGTGGGAGGAAAACGGAGGACCCGGAGAAAACCCACAAGGTTGGACAGGCGACCCTACTCCTTGTCACGTACAACCGGGGAATCTCGAAACCATGCCAGTTGACTCAATGACAGGTCGTATGATACAGCACGCACGTGCTAACCATTCGACCATCCCCCCCCCCCCCCTATATTCAGTTCAAAATGGTGAACATCAGTTGACCAAAATCAAAATTCTGATCCGATAAAGTTTTAGACATTCCTTCAAGGATTCAAAAAATGTAACTCCCATGTCTGTAAATAAAATATTGCAAAACCCATATGGATTTTTCACGTTTCAAGATGGTGGCACTTCCGGTTCAACGGACAGACTTCATATACTAATGTCCAAAAGAAAGTATACACTGTGCATTTTGTGCTGCATCAACCAAAGTCGGTTTTCCATGGTATACGCCAGTATACGGTATTTGGGTAGAATGTCAATTTGTTTCACATTTTTATTTTGCTTGGAAATGTTGAGTTTGGACGCAAGAGACAAACTCAGTAATGCTTTATCAAATGTTTTTAATCTAAACAAAACTTAGTCATACTTTTAGTGTGTATACTTTGTTTTGGACATCAGTATATTTTGTGTACCCATCAGAACTTTCTTAGCTAGTACAGAAAAAAAATTTCAAGGCAATCTGACCTATATTTCGTTGATTTTTTTGAAAATTTAGATCCTTAATTTCCGCAAGGGGAGATAATTTAGAAAATTTCTAATGACTTCTTTCAATAATCTTAACAGAAGCAATAAGCTTTAATATGAACTATGAAAGCTTAATAATCTTACCGAAACCAATAGTGTTTCACACAAGCTATGCAGTGTGAAACCCTAAATAATTCAACAGTAAATAATATAAAATTTTATTAAAATAGTAGCCATAGTCAACAATAAGCAGGGGAGATACGGTGGCTAAGTGGGTAAGAGGCTGACTTGCTAGCCTGGAGATCACGTGTTTGATCCCTGCATTGGCCGAGAAAGTTCATCAGGATTTTCAGATGTGGTTTCCCCTTGTTAGTGGTGCAAGACGGAGGGCCTGACAAGGACAGCTGTCTTGTCGTTCAAATAACATTGGGTGTATACATTGGGTTGCACGTAAAAGATCCTTTGGCAGTTGGAATTTTATATAAGAGTAGGCCATAGTGCGGCTGCCCGGGCAAAATTTCCCTCATAGCACACTGCATGCCCGACTTCATTATCCCAGTATAGGAGCAGAACAGTAGGGCGTTAAACCCCATTTCATTTCAACAATAGGCAACAAATAATAACAAACCTTTTTTAGCTTTTAGAAATTCAGGTTTTTCATGGCTGTAAGAAAATTTTTCTGCAAAAAAAATAGAGTACAAATATTTAGACATATGGTAGATGAACATGTTAAATAAATAAAAGAGATATGTTTGGTTGAGACACCCAGAACAAGAATAAAATTATGCAAGAAAAACAGAGAGCATAAGTAATACAAAAGATATACTTGATAATAATTACAGATAGCCCATGCTTTAACATCATCAGGTTTTCTGTAACAAGTACAATATTCGACACTCCTGAAAATAAGGGTCAAATTGGACTTGCTTATAAACACTGAGCCGTCGATTCGGTCTAGATGATTGCAGTTATGAGATAATTTTGACCAAGAAGCAACCATATTAATTCAAAGACTAATCATTACACACAGAAATCAACTACGGTATTTCTGTTATAGGGTCATTAAACCCATATTTTGGGTAGAAGTAAACACTCATAGTTGAAATAATTTTAGTCCAAATATCGTCACTGTGAAAGAAAAAGCACTCTTGAATATGCTCTATACGTTAACAAAAGGTATAGATTGTATCCACCCTTAGTGCATGTTTCGCTTAACAGTGAAAGGTGAAGTTTTCAATTTTCGATCCCTTTGTTTTCCTACTCCTGATATGTTGGACTGTTGCGCAATGGTTTCATATACAAGACTACCGATTAGACTCTCTGTAGAAGATGTTCCCCAAAAAATATTACGTTGACTTTTCGAGAAAAAGACCCCTAAACATGCTCCAAATCGTAAAAATACGCCGTTTTCAATTTTCGATCTCTTTTATCGGCTACCCATGAAAATTAGAAAAATGCACTACCCATTAGACTCTTGATTGAGAAAGTGTGAAAAAAATCGTTGGCGGGGTTTCCGAGAAACATGCGTTTAAACTTGATCGAAATCGTAAATAACCTTACTTTTCAAAGTCCCATAATTTTTTTAGTTTTCAATAGAAACTTGTCGCTATATTACCATCTTGTAGATAATTCATGTCGCTGTCAAACGCCATAATACGTTAACTACTCAGTAAACAACCAATCGCATTTTGAGCACAGGCACCTAATTTTCAGAATTTATTGACCACTTCCGGTGATTAGAGGATTTTCATCTATAAACTAAGGGCTGGAGTAGACCTTTGTCTTCATATTCTTGAAGTTTCAGAAAAATCATAGGCGCCGTTTTAAAAAAATAAGAAATCTACGATTTGACCAAAATGCGAAAAAAAGTGAAAAATAAAAGTTAACATTTCAGAACAAAACATATATTGTTGGAATCGGATTGATGTCAGCTATCCAAAAATATAAGTCAAATTTCAAAATTTCCAAAAATAACAATTTTATAAAATTTTGAAAATTTTCCAATTTTCACCAAAAAAATGTGAGCGACAAAATTTCTAAACTCAACGTTTTTGAACTGTTATCTGCTCAGAAATGTCTCCAGCTATACAAAAATGTAAATATCAGAAAAATCAGTTAAGAATTAACAGAGTTATGTCCAGTAATAACTTAGTAAAAACTATAGCCTTTCACCGAAGGTGAAAGCCTAACAAGAATAATCTTAGTAATAACAATAGTCTTTCACCGAAGGTGAAAGCATAACTAGACTTGCTTGCAAGACTGAAAGCTTTCACCGTAGCCAAGGCGTCACACGGTCGCCAGATGTATGACAAAGACTATCCCCACCACTCACCACCCAAAAAAACACACACTTGCATAACTCAGATATTGACATGTTCTTTCAATCTGCATTACGATAGAAGGGAATTGAAAAATAAAGTTGGACAATTCACATCATAATAATCCTAGATCGGTAGAATTGGGCAGACGCCGGCAATCCGAATATGTAATCGAAAACTCAAAATTCCAAGAAATAACAATTTTTGTAAATTTTCAAATTCTCAAGAAAAAATCAGAACGACATGATATCTCAATTCGGCCGTTATCGCATTTGCAATATCCCCAGCTGTACAAAAATATAACTTTTTGGAAAATCGGTTGGGAATTGACATAATATTTACGTCACTTCGGGTCTGTTCATAACTTTCGCGATAGTTATAAGTACTAACTGTTTAAAACATGTGAAAATCGATATTCAGAACTATACCAGTTTACCTGTCACAGTTTCAAAGATCTTCACGAATTAGAAAAGGAATAAACAAAACAGTTTTCCGAATGGCAAAAAAAATGAATCTTAGGTCTAAGATAACTATTAAAACCTGAAACATACTTACCAGCATTAGTTTTTCATTTTTGATGAGAAGAAGGCGATTTCCTTCTAAATAGCCGCGGCGGAGAGCTTTATTTTCAATGGTATCAAGTGTTGGCGTCATGTAGACAAATGAACTCGCACATAAATTCTATGACAAAATTTTATTTTCTGAAATAACTTATTTTCACCCTAGAAGCATCAATTCCATATTTTGGTTGACAGTAAAACACCCTTAGATCAAATGTTGCCAGTTTGAAAAAAAAAGGTCTCTATATATGCTCTATATAGGTAGTCTCATAGACAAAAATATTGATTAGACTCTCTATAGAAGAAGTTCACCCAAAAATATTAGATTGCCTTTTTGAGAAAAATACCTCTAAACATGCCCGTACAGCGACGCTAGTCTACTCTTATATAGAATTTCAACTGCCAAGGTATCTTTTACGTTCACACCAATGTGTACATGGGACCTCGGAATCACTTCATGTCAGCTACTAAAATATGTAACTGGTTCAAAAATTGATTGAATATTCAATGAATTATCACCAATATCATGGTTTCGTGCACGTTAAAGATTTGACGTCACTAACATGTAAATACTTGATAATAATTACAGATAGCCCATGTTTAAACATCATCGAGGTATCTGTAACAAGTACTATATTCGATACTACTGCAATAAAATGTCAACTTGGACTTGCTTATAAACAGATTGAGCTGCCGATTCGGTCAAGATGATTACGGTTATTAGATAATTTTGACAAAGAACCAACCATATTAATTCAAGGTCTAATTATTACACACAAATCAACTATTTCTGTCATAGGGTCATTAAACCCATATTTTGGCGAGACGTAAACACTCATAGTTGAAATAATTTTAGTTTAAATATCATCACTGTGAAAGAAAAAGCCATCTTGAATATGCTCTATACGTTGACAAAACGTACAGGTTGTATCCACCCTTACTGCACGTTTCGTTTAACAATGAAAGGTGCCGTTTTCAATTTTTGATCCCTTTGTTCTCCTACTCCTGATATTTGGGACTGTTGTACAATGGTTTCATACATAAGACTACCGATAAGACTCTCCGTAGAAGAAGTTCCAAAAAAAATATTATGTTGACATTTCGAGAAAAAGACCTCTAAAAATGCTCCAAATCGTAAAAATACGACGATCTCGATTTTCGATTCAAAAAATGATACAATGGTTTCACACAACAGACTACCCATTAAACTCTCAATTGAGAAAGTTTTTAAAAAATTGTTGACGGCGTTTCCGAGAAAATGGCATCTAAATTTGCTCGAAATCATTTCCTTCAATTACATAGTTTCGATTGCTGATGTCTATCCGATTCGAGCGATGTAATATTATTTTGTAAATTGTTTAAATTCCCTTCTTTTGAAATGCGCATACAAAGAATATATGAGTTACTCGGGTGGTAATTAATCTGTTTAACATTTAACCTCAGGTCCTCTTATCTTGTTTGTTGACTATTTAGACTCGAATAACTAGACACTAATATGGATTCCGACACAATGCGCTTCCTGCCTAACACTGCAGTTCATAATATTAATAATTTTCGTATATTTTGATTTTTGACCTAGGACATTTTGTACAAATGACTATTTGTCAATTAACCACTTGGATTGGCCTTTACGTGTGAATATCGCCGTGACCTTGACTTTGACTTCAAATTTCCCATCAAGTTTTGAGCCTTTCCATTTATGTGTGTCATGGCCATAATTCTTGCTGTATTATCCAGGCCATTTCCTGGCATTTTGAGTTTCCTTCAATTACATAAGATCATGTTGTGAATTGTTCAACTTTATTTTTCAGTTCCCTTCTCTTGAAATGCCCACACAAAGAACATGTAAATATCTGGGTAATGCATGTATGTGTCGAGTGTGTGTGTTGGGCAAGTCTTTGTCTTGCGTCCGCTCGCGGTGTAACGTTTTACGCAAAGTGAAAGCCTTCATCATTGCGCGCAATAGACTATTGTTATTACTAAGATTAATATTATCATTTTATTTTTTTTTGGGGGGGGGGGGGGTCTATTTCTCAGCAACTATAAGAGATAGAGGTCTGAAGTTTTATTTTCCGTCGGAAAAATGGGTGGTGGTTAGTGCTTAAATGTAAAACGAAATTTGTGCGCATAGCGGAAATGCGTTAATTCTTTAACATGCACGAAAATTGGCCATAACTCTGTTAATTCTTAACCGATTTTTCTCAGCAACTATAAGAGATAGAGGTCTGAAGTTTGATTTTCTGTCGGAAAAATGGGTGGTGGTTAGTGCTTAAATGTAAAACGAAATTTGTGCGTATAGCGGAAATGCGTTAATTCTTTATCGCGAAAGTTATGAACAGACCCGAAGTGACGTAAATATTATGTCAATTCCCAACCGATTTTCCAAAAAGTTATATTTTTGTACAGCTGGGGATATTGCAAATGCGATAACGGCCGAATTGAGATATCATGTCGTTCTGATTTTTTCTTGAGAATTTGAAAATTTACAAAAATTGTTATTTCTTGGAATTTTGAGTTTTCGATTACATATTCGGATTACCGGCGTCTGCCCAATTCTACCGATCTAGGATTATTATGATGTGAATTGTCCAACTTTATTTTTCAATTCCCTTCTATCGTAATGCAGATTGAAAGAACATGTCAATATCTGAGTTATGCAAGTGTGTGTTTTTTTGGGTGGTGAGTGGTGGGGATAGTCTTTGTCATACATCTGGCGACCGTGTGACGCCTTGGCTACGGTGAAAGCTTTCAGTCTTGCAAGCAAGTCTAGTTATGCTTTCACCTTCGGTGAAAGACTATTG